ATCAATCGTATCGCCAACGAACATGCATTTCATCTTTTTTCTATGAAGAAGGTTGTCGGAAATCAGAAGAGTGTGTATTCTTTTTTCGTGGAAGAAGATATATTTTCCTTTTTTCGTAGTTTCAAATGAAATATTGAGGATTCATAACTGACACACATAATATGAAATGACTAAATGGATATTATATTATGAATTAAATGAATATTATTAAAGAGTAACATTTATAAAGGCAGAAAACTTTATAGAATATTATTTTCGAAATTTTGAACTGGATAGTTGTCGAATGCTTTTTAAAGCAATGTCGAAAACGGTATTTGGCGAAAGTGGATGCTTAAATGGAGAAACAAGCTAAACCGTACGATTATCAAAGATCATCAGAGCGCACATTCTCGAAGACTTTCGATACGAAAATGACACGAATAACGATTTTGCAGTTTTATACGTACAAAATTGAAACGACCTTAAAGACCCACACTTTTTTTCTGTTGTCAGATGAAATCGTCATAGAAGAGTAGGAAGAACGAGAAAGTCTTTCCAACATTTCCCCTGGAATAACCTTTATATCTTGGTAAATATTTTTTCCAATCTTCGTACTTGGTCGTACGGGCATGTCGCGTTTCTCTTTCACTCAATCGAATGACTGTTTACGCGCGAGAACGCATTCCGCCAGAGAAACGGCGACGTAAACGCAGATCCCCGTACCTGTTGAAAACTCCAGGTGCACCCGCGTGTAAAGAATGTGACTGGCGCCGTACCATTCGCTCATCCCTAGGCACCGACTCGATAATTCAATACACAGGGAAAACCAACGAGGTCCGCCTCGTCTTCTTTTCTTTTGCATGGCGCGCGTGAACGCTTATTTATGCGGATCCAACGACGGAACACGGGAAATTGAATAAAGTCGGAACGAACGGTCCACCGTTCCAATACATCGAGCGGAATGATATATTTGACAAGTTCGCATATTGCTACGTGCATATTACATGCGCGATAGCGAGCGCCGTCTGACCATACACGCGCCGCTTTCACTTCGATCCGACTCTGCCGTTTTCTCTTCCTTTTCTTCCCATTGCTTCTGCTTTGTAGACATTTTCTTTCTTTCGAGCACACTTCTGATATATTCTCTCTTGATCATTCCTCTTTCTCTCACTTTCGCCCTCGCGCTATATGCGTTTGCCTGTATTTGCACCTCTGACGATATGTATCATACTAGACACCAGATATGACTGGAAATGCCAAACTATCATTTCCATGTAATGCGGCGCAAATACAAGCAGCTCGCGTGAGTAACGAGTGAAACTAGAGAGAGAGAGAGAGA